TATTGACGTAATACTAACGGATTTTATAGCCAGTGGGAAACGGTTGAATTCTGCAGTAATATCGGCTGCAGCCAGTAAATGTGTAACCGAGGCTTTACAAAGGACAGGCACTTACTTGTTGGAGCCTATAATGAATGCTGAGGTAATGTTTGAATATTTTCTTTTGTTCGTTCTTTAGAACTTTTGAAAATCGTGGTCTAATTAAATCAGAACAAATATTAAGTTAGATAAAAATTTTTAAAACTTTTAATAATTGTTTTAGATAGTTACAACAGATAAAAAGCACGCAGATATGATACTGAAAGAAATTTATAAGCGAAGAGGCATTGTGCCAGAGTCTGGGATGGAATGCATCGGTGATACGTATGTTGTTCGATGCATTATGCCACTTGCTGAATTACAAGGATTCTCCAAAAATATTCGTATTATAACTTCGGGTCATGCAAGTATTCATCTCGAAGTGGGTGGGTATCAAGATATAAGCGAGCAAAAACAAAAAAAAATTGCAAATTTAACTAGGGTTCAACATCATTGATCAGTTTCTGGATTTACTAATACTCGACACTTAGCCATATATGGAATCTCCATCAGGTTCTGTAAAAAAAATTTGCCGCTTTTTGAATTGTTGATTTAGGTTAATTTAATTATGGGCTACAACGTATAACGCTCTAAAAAATATTAAATGATGTTTGTTACTTTTTCCAACGATCCAATGAAATGTGCTGAATGCCAGTGTCCCTTTTATATTTAAATTTTAGAAATTGCTATTTAATATAATTTTATTAATGAAATGTAATTTTTCACATTATGATCGTGCTATTTTTTGTTAAGAAAAAGCTATGTAAGAGTTTCACTTCATGGAGACTTTTTTTGTGGTACTCTTTTGTACTTCCGAGACAACGACAGACATTTTTGATTGAATTTTGTTGCTGACACTAAAATATTATACTAAATATTCCTATTATAGTATTCAATAAATTACATTTTTTATTTGCTAATAATAATCGAAGAAAAAATGCTCAATTTTTCAACTTTTATACATTATTTTTTGATTTAAAGATTTAATTGCCAGCTATTGTTGCTCTCGAAAAATATTAACTCTCTAGTCTCATTAAACATCATGCTTTGATTGATTCCCGAGAATTGCTTGTTAATTGTAATAATAATTTGGTGACATTTCATGTGAATTATCAATAAATGTAAAAAAGTTTTCTAGAGCAACATTCTCAGAAAATAAGATGTAATTAAGGATTATTAAATTGATTTCGATTTAATTTAATCAATTAGTGCTAATCATTTAATGCAAGCTAGATGATTCATTAAAATGATTTTTTTTGTAGGTTTTTTTCGAAGTTTTTCTTTGAAATCACTTTAATATTTTTCCCCTTTTTCTTATGACTAAATGTATGAGACACTGTAAGCAATTAAAAAAAAATTTGAAAAATGATTGACTAAATTGCAATTTGTGTCGAATTTCATTCACTTATCAAAACCTATCTGAAATTCTATTTGCCACTATTTTCACTTACTTTAAAATTTAACTAAAATATTAAGGTCGAAGTGAGGAAGGAGAATAATGCCAAAGAATTATTTTATACTCGACAAAAGCATTTTCATATGAGTAGTTAATGCTATACTCAAAGATTTAATATTACTCTGTTCAAAGTGCATTTACTATTTAGAATGATGAATGGAAAATTTTTATTCGCTCTTTCAACGTTGCAGTAAGTACTATTCTCCACTTTACAATGTGCATCGATGACATTTACCTTAACAAACAAACTTCCTAATTAAACCTTACCTACTTTTTACGGTCTTTTCTCTTGAATGGAAACAAAAAGTGATAAAATCATTTAAAGACGATCAAAAATAATTTAAAAAATATAAATTTTATATAAATGATGTAAATTTTCAATATAAATGACAAATTTTCGTTTCATACTCTTTTTTCTACGAGCGGAACCGGTAATTTAAATTATTTATAATATTACATTTGACATTGTTTTTCATTCTTTTAATTACATTTTTATTTGTAACTTTTTGCAGCGTAATGAACTCGAAATGTCTGATCAACGATAATAACAACTTAAATCGTATCGGAAATTTCTATCACATTAAAACATATCATTCTGTATTGGTTTCATCGAATTATTTTAAATAAAATTCCAAAAATTTTTCATTTTCATTCAAGAACTGTAGCCAAAATTTTGTGTGGAGCTATTAAGATTACATGACATATGCGCTTATTAATATTAAAGCTTATAGAATGATTATCAGGCGGAATAGTTTAAAAACTGAATTAAAGTGTCAGTCTGCAACATTGCAGTGTTATGAATTTCTTCTCATACATCTTTTACATTTCAATTTGAAAATTTTGTTGCCATGTTAATATGAATGAGCGGAAAATTCAATAATGCAAAAGGTTCTTAAGCCATTTTAATGAGAAATTTATTTTTTCCCCTCAAAACATGATGTAAATATTTTTTTTTATTAATTGATTTTTTTCCGTCATAAATATTTCCGTTATAAAATATTACAATAAAAAAAGCTTTTCTGTTGTATTTCAGTTTTAACTAAGCAGTACTTTCGTTATTTTATCCTTTAATTATCAATTATTATCAAATTGATCAAACCACTGTTCGAAAAAAGATTAAAAAGGGGAAATCCGGTAGCGTAAGCACTTATTATGATGCTTTGCTCCAAAAAAATCTCTTCTTCAATTTTATAATAAATACTTTCAGTTTAAGTGAAAAAATTTCACTTGGTTAATATCTCGTCCAATGAATAACCAAATTGACTTTGAGTAACCCAGCAATTTTCCCTTTTCTATTATTATGCATAAATAATAAATCCTCCCATTTGAAAACACTCATCTTTAAACATTTTAATGAATTTTTAATTTACTTTTATCACCTGAAATGTTTAGTTATTATTGTAGCAGAAATTATCAATACTTCTTTCTAACTGAATTTTTCTTTTTTCTTTCTCTTTTTTCAAATATTTATGCTCTTTACAAAAATTGATAATACATAAAATTGAAATTTTTTAATTTATGATACGATGCAGTTCGTTGTGAATTCATTCGGCAAAATAAAGAATAAAAGGAGTGATCGATTTTGATTTCAATTTCGGGGCATGCAGTCGACCGCAATTCATTCCACCCTTTTAACCTCGCCATTCAATTGGTTACCCAATTATTTCGACCAACTCATAACTGAACACCACGCAACTTTTTTTCCCAGCATTTTGTCCATTTTACTTTGCATATTTAAATTTGATCAAACTGTTTATTATAATGGCAAATTACCTTGAAAATATAATCTTCAGGTATAGAACATAAATCACTTCATTGGGGGGAAAGGGTATCGGAAATTGTTCAAAGCAGTTTTCGATATTCCCCTGTTTTCGCAAAAATTTGACATATTTGAAGATTGAATAAAATCGATTGTTTTTAAAAACTATTGATGTTTTTGTTAATTTGATTGATCTTTTAAAGAATGAATTTTTTTTGGTTTCGAAAAGGCAAAATTGTAATTTTTTTTCAGTTAAGCATTCATTTAAAAATGTCTTACCGATAACTGGCTATTTCATACCTTCTCAATTTATTTAATGCCTGTTTGGATAATATTTGTTAAGGAGAGTAAAATTAAAAAAAAAAAAAAGAAGTAACATCCGTTAGAAATGATTTTTAAAGTAAAGAATGAGCATGAATATTCTTCCATTCTTCTCTTTATCCCAACCTATAAAAACTAGTTTTCCCGATTAAACGAAATATCGGTGGTTGTAATGGGCAGACTCCTGGAATGACAGTGTTTGGTGTTGGGTGGTATGTAATAATTTCGGTCTCATTTACTTTATCTTAAGCTTTAGCCAATTCTTTTCTCTTTTTGTTGAATATTAAATCAAGTAAAAAAAATTTGATTTAAGATTTTTGAATATTTGAGATAAAATTTTGAGCATTTCTTATTGGTCGATTTTAAAATTACGAGATGTGATATGTTATCAATGAATGTTTATCACAAAAAATTTCATTCGTTAAATTCCTTAATAATTTATCATTTTAAAAAGAATTATTGTTAGATCAAATAATTTATGAACAAGGCGGAATTAGTCATCAATGCTTTTGTAAGGACTTTCTAAATGATTGATGGGATGTAATTTTGCTTTGAGAAGACAGGGACATGCACAATCATGTGAACAACTATTCTCAAAATAGGGTGGATTCGAGAGCTTTACTTTAGGATGGAAATGAATTAATCACACAATTTTTATCCCTTCTCATTCTCATTTTCAAATTGATCGATTTTCTTTCGATGTTTCGGAGCTATTGTCCTATTTCATAGTTCTGTCAAATTATATTAAAAAATTGTAAAACTTTTAGAAACACAATGAAGCATTGGTTGGAGTTATACATTGTTATGGCGATTTGTACGGTAAGTTAATTTTATTCCAAAATTTCCAACTTTTCAATATTTTTTTCACGTTGTTATTGAATTTGAAAAATAACGAATACTTGATTTATCCATTTTTATCATCAGTCATTAATGGAAATGGGGATAGTTTATTATTAAATTCATAGTTGAAATTCAAGATATAATTTAAAGAGGGAGAGAGTGAGAGAGAGGGAAAAAGAATGGTAAGCAATTTCGAGTACTGTTTCAGTGTAGAAATCGATTTCTTATCTTATAGGACTGACCTTCAGGTTTAATTTATGTCATACATTTGCACATCTTTGATGGTAACATTAGTGATCAACAATTTATCGTTCTATCAAACATTTACGGAACTTTATAATGAATATTGCTATCGATAATGGAAGACTTTCGAAATATTTTAAAACAAATTCAATAATTTAAGCTGTATTTTTTTCCAATTTTCATAATAACAAAAAAATCATTATGCGATTACAGTGATAAAATCTTTGCAAAGAAAAATGATTACAAAATATAAATAACATACTCGAATTTCTTTCTGTCTAATGCAAATTTATATAATTTGAAGTATTACAGCCATTTCATATTTGAAATATGATAACTTTTGATGATAATTCAACACTCAATCATCAAATGAAAATTCTAATTTAAAAACAATTTCGAGTGCAAAAATTGAAATTTCTAAACTTCTTTTTTATTTTAGAAAATATTACATTTTTTTAAAATTATCATTTACATTTAGCTTCATCAATGAATAATCATTTGTTAAGGTTATTATCATCGAACACTCAACTCATCTTACCTTTGGATTGAAAAGTAACTGCGATTGATGGACGAAAGAAATTATTTTTTTTAATTCACTGATACATAAGTTTTTTCGGGTTATATTAAACCAAAGTGCTATCGTTTTTTTTGAAGCCCTCATTGTTAATCGTTAATTGCGCAATTTTAAATTGTTTATGGCACGGTTAATTCCAGTTTGGCTCAAACTATACAATGCTATAAACTTTTTTGACCTATACTTTTTTATTAAAATTTAAACTTTGCTTCCAAATTTTAATGAAATATTGATATAAATTCGTTAAGTAAATACTAAAGAGCTACAAATAGATATCCATAGATTTTAAATGAATTTAAAACGAAGCATTCAACAATGATCTTTCCAAATGATTCTTCTGCTCTATACATTATCAGTTATTGAAAAATTTCAAATACCATTTCTGATTAAATTAACTGAAAGTAATTTCTTGATTGATTGGTAAATAAGCTGATTCAGTTGTTTATTTGCTTGCTCTTTTTTGTTTCTGAAACTTGAAGAAGACTAAAAAATCAGTCAAGGCTATAAATTTTTTTTAAAGTAATTTTATAGGCATTTGGTTGGTGCCGAAGTTGCCCTTTACCATCTCTCTTCTCCAATCATATGCAATGCATTAAAGATACTGTTTCCAGAAATTACGGCAGTTTTGAAAAAGAAATCAGGGAACATAATCGGTTAATTTCCAAAATATCGTTATATATTTTTCAAAACTTACCAAAATTCAATTTTTTTAATAGCATATTTTCAATCATTTGAGACTGATTAATTATTAGCTATTCATTTGTTTACTTTAAATCAGAATGCTGAAGCATTTAATCAGTCCAAATTTTTTTAACTTATACAGTTCTAACTTCCCTAATAATTTCAGGTTCGCAAATTGAAAAATATCTTTCTTTTATGTTTTCTGAAATAGCAGAATGATTGATTTAAATAATATTTAAAAAAGAAAGAATTTTTCGATCTTCATATACATCAAATCTTTTGAAATTAAATAATAATTTAATTTAACAGTCATGCAATCAAATCGTGTTTTGCTCAAACTATCGCGGATGGTAACCAGGAAAATCGATGTGTTTTAGCGCTCTCTGATTTGGACAATAAAGCTTGGGACCGTAATGGCCCGTTGCGCGATTGTTCAATTTGTCGAACGGTTGTTCAAATTTTTTACAAATTTATCTCTCATCTCTATTTTATGCTTACCTATTTTTCTTGCTTATTCAAAAATAACTAATTGAAATGTTAATTGTAGCAATTTTGAAGCAGCCTATTTTTTTTGCTTATTATTACCTATTTTTTTGCGTGTTCAAATGTTAATTTGTAGCAATTTTTTTGAAAACGCAAGAAACTTAAAAGTTATATTTGATTTGAGCTCAAATTAATGTTTTTCAATTGAATTAAATCATACAATTTTTCAGTAAAAAGATGAGTTTCCTAAATTCCATTTAATTAAACTATTGTATTCGATAAATCTTTAAATGATCGAATTTTAATTTTAACAATAAAATGCCCAAATTAATTAATTAATTGCAGTTTGCTAATGGTGCAATTAAAGCAATGCTATCAACCTCTGAGGAAGAACAGAAATGTGTACGTTCTGAGGTTTCTAAAGCTGTAAAATTGGAAACGGAATATTGTTTGCGGGGGAAGATAAACAATTTTGATGGTATTCCTGAATTCCCGGATTTCGAAGAAAGTTCATATGCGTTTAAGGATGAAATGTATGTGCTATATTTGAATAAAATTAGTCAGTTTCTTTGATTTGTCAAGCTTATCAATGTAGAAGTTTTCAGAATCAATTCGATCTCAGATCACATTCTAATCTATAGCCGTCTAGCGTTCTGTAATGAGCGGAAACCGGAACGTGCAGAAGCTACACGACGATGTTTGAAGAATCCATTTGATGGATATCTTGCAAAACATTGCAATGGTTGAAACTTTGAATATTAGTTGAAATTTCAATATTCGCAAATTTTTCAGTCAAAAATCCTTTCTTGTAAAAAAACTAATTTTGATAAATTATAACGAAAATGAAACAAGCATAGAAATAGAAGTTGATGGATTATTCATTCTTAATTAGTTTCACTCATATAGAGAGGTTCGTTTTCTATCTAATCATTGGAATTAATTAATTATATCAGCGCCATTCATATTAAAGAATTAAATATATTTTTGTATAAATCATATCAAGAAATTAAAAAAAATACATACATTTCTGTGTAAATTAAAACCATATATTTGCGCATTTTTTCTTAGCCATTAAAATAAAAATTTTTTTCCCAACAAACAAAACAAATAATATCATCTTTAAAGTCAAATGAGATATTTCAAAATTTCGAGTGACCTTTTTTTAAAAAAGCAAAATTTAATACAAAGAGATTATATTTTGCAGTTCTGAAGAGCTGTGAAAGTCAAATCTCAGGAAATTGTCAAGCACAAATTGTGCATTTAAAAAACGCAACTTGCGATTGTGTTGAGAATACTCGAGCAGACCTCAAAAAGCGACTTGCCTCAATTTCGCAGGCTATCAAAGATGTTCGCATTATTATTATTCAATATTCATTATTTCAGTTATTAAAAGGAAATAATTTATTAGAAGTGATAAAGTATCTCAGCATGCAATATGAGATTATTGTAATTTTTACAGGGAATTAGCTCTAACTTTTTGAATTTACAATTTTCCATTTTTTGTTTTTCTTCAACATTAATCAAATAACTTTCTCCCTTCATCCGTTAGCAAAAAAGTGCAAATAAAGACAAAAGTATAGATAATAAAAATCCTTCACCAAATTATATAATCCAAATTACAAAAATTGATAAAATTTAAAATTAATAAGGCAAAAAAAACATTAACGTTAATACAATAATTTGGTAAAGAAAAATTCCTCGCCAAATTATATAATCCTTTTTAACTTTTATGAAAATTTTTATAAAGCTCAGTAATATTTCCATTTGCGCTTTTGACATTCAAAAACATGCAAGTCTTCTTTATCTTTTAAACGACATTCATTTCAATTTTTTTTTTCCATTTCGATGCTCATTAAAAGTCCTTTCAAAGATGTGGAACAAAAATTTGTCAAATTTTCCTCAACGACTTCATATTATGTTTCAAGGACTTTAAGATTCTTGCAACGACCTGAGTATGAATAGGTTTAAAGAGAAAAGCGCTAAAGCTGTAAGCTTTGCAAAATTTTTGTTTTTTGAATGAAGTACTTTTTTTTATTTTTTCTTCTATTCAACATTCTATCTGCCCTTTTAGATAGGTTAAACTATAGAAAACTAAGAAAATAGAATAAAAATCATAATGCTCTATCAGTCCACCTACCATATCCGCATGCGAAATTTTATGGAATGACGACTGCTTGTAAAAAATAAGTTAGAAACATATTTCAGGAAAATAAGAAAGGTTGAAAAATTGGTAAACATTGCATAACCTTTCCAGAAAATTATCAATTAAAGTTAGCTATCCTTCTAATGAGCTCAATTAGTACTTTCAATTTTTGTAAACAAAAAAATTGCAAACTTTCATAATTTTTTATAAAAAAAAACTTTTTCAGATTGGAAAAAAAGCGCAATAAATGCTATAAAAAATAGCAGGGGCGGAAATAGGCAGTTTTTGTTTTCCAGAATATTTTTCGGTATTCTCAATATATAGAATATTTCCAATATATGTTAAAAAAATTCAGTCCCTTATCTTTGAATGAAGCTGAAAAATTTTCCACTCAACTTATGAACAATTAGTAGAGGAAGTGATAAAATAAAATAGTTTAAAGAGAGAAAAAATTAGTCACATTAGCTGACATTTTTTTGTGTTAATCATATTTGAAAAGAAGGTAAGTTTTCACCAATTAATCGGATTAATTTACGACAGCTTGGGTAGCAAAAGATAGGTAGGAATATTTGCTTTATCCTGGTACACCGTAATCCATAGATTAATATTGTCATAAATTGTATAGTTGATATTGCGATGATAAAATCTTAAAGGTTAAAGTAATATGATTAAGAATGTTTCCCAATTATTTTTGGACAGCCAAAAAGGATTGTGTTTTTTTCTTAGATATGTTATTTTAATTTTAAGCTTTTGCTAAAGCATAAAATATGCAATATAATGGTGATATATTTAAGATTATCTATGAATCAAATATATATATCATACGTATTTTATCCAGTTCTTTTCTTGATTCCTATTAATGATAACAATCTTCTAAATAATAAATTTTTATGCATTTTTACGTATTATGTATTTTTTGATGTGTCCAATAATACGTTGGAAGTAAGGAAGTAAGCATGTCATTTTATTTGTGATCATAACGGTTGTATACTGTCAATTATGTATTGTAAACTATTCCTTAAAAATAAGTATTCGAAATTTTATATAATCAATTAACAACTTATATAATAAATAATATTATTTTTTGTTGGTATTATATATTATCTTACACAATAATGATATAAAGTTTAAGGCATAACTTTTGACCTTTCTAATAACTTTGCTTATTAAGAGTTCATTTAATGATCGGTAGTTCAATGGAGCATTTCAGACCATTGATAGCAATGATCGTGGTGCAGCATCGATAGGCGGTGGTAGTAAAGTGGATCAATGTGTATCAAACATTAAAATCTTAGTGTTAGTAGCACCTTTTTTTTGAAATTTTTATTTTTTAATTGTTACTACATTTTTTCTTTCAACATTTTATAAAATTTTCATCACGAATACTATCAAATTTGTTTCTATATTTTTGTCTTTCTAGCTTTAAATTGTTATAAAGCATTTTCAAATTTGTTTACTTGACTAGCATAGCGCACGAATTTTCCGTGATTAGCATAGCGTCAAATTCCCTATGATTAGCGTAGTGTTTAGCACAGTATATGTCAGAAAAATGCCATACGAAACATTAACGTTGCGAAGCATTAACGATTAAATTCTCCTTCACCAACTTCTGAATTTTTTTTTTTATTTAGGAGGACACCAGTGAATGATTGGATTGAAGTTATTGATAAAGCATTAGAAAAATGCTTGAAGAAGAAGCCAGCGGGACAAAATCTGGGCCTCGATTCGCTCATCAATGTCGGTTGTCGAAAGGTTTTAGTTTTGAAATTTTTTTTTCACTCATGAAAAATTTGATAAAAAGAGCTAAGTAATAGAAGATCAGAGAGTAAAGTGAATTCAAAAGGCAAACTCGTAGTGATGCAAGTTATTCTATTCCGAAGTCAAATGTCAACATATATATATTGTTGAATGCTTAAACTTCATTTTAAAGGTAATTGCTGATACCACTGGAACAGCACACACGCAGCTGAAAACAGGATTTGATTTCATTAACAATTTAATGGATGCAATGGTAGACCGATCGGGGCGTTTCTGCGGTGGCGTACATTGTGGTTGAATAGAAATTTTCAGAAATTCGATAAAAATTTTTGAAATTACAATTTAAAATAAAACTCTGCCTCATTATTAATTGTCAGAGCAAATTTTTGTCATTTTTGGGAATTTTCAAGCTTCCAAAATTATTTTACTTTGAATTTTCATTAAACTTTCATTTTTCAAATGTGATTACTGATTTGGAATAAGTATGTTATCATTTTTTATTACAATTATAACTTTCAAGCAATGCGATAAATTATATATTCTTTTAAGTTGAAATTTTATTAATTTCAGATAATTTGTGACATATGGGACTAAAACAATTGACAACACATAATATTTTTAAATCATATCGATAACGAAACTTCTCTGCTTTTCGTATTTGATAATTATTTTCATTTACATTTTAAATCTCGCAGAACGATATGGAAATTGCTTAACAATACCTATCAATAATTTCAGCATACTTTGAATTACCGTCAGCTGAACGAACAATGATAACTTAGTACCCAAATAACTTCTCCAAGAATGATTAAACTTCTTATACTTCAGTAGGGGAAATAGTGTTACAATGAGCTTAACTATTTTCTTGTTATCAAAACTACAGTTCCCGTTTGGACCTCCATAATACATATTTTGTTTTTACTACAAAAAAAAAAATCTAATCTTTATAGGATAGGAAATCTTGCACTATCTTATGAAGGATTATATTGTTATAAATGGTCAACTATCTTCTTTTAATAGCTTAGATCAATCTATCAGAAGAGCTGCAATTTGACCAAAACGAATTAAGTGTGAATAAAAATATGCACGTGACCAATTTCTGAAACGAATTAAAAGTATGATTTCATTCTAGTAGAGATCATGCCTCAAAAAAGATATAGAAATCAAAGAATGATAAGTTTTGTAAATTTTGCAAGACATAATCACAGGATAAACGTAGTCCAAACTCCCTCCACCCTCCAAAGAAACTACCGATTTTCAGGAAAACATTCGTAACCTTCCATATTTTCAGTTAGAATTTAATGAATTCTGACAGGACTTTAAGAATGATTTGTACATTGATGAAACACAGTTTCACTGCAAAAGTTAAACAACTGAAATATGGGAGGTTACTTACTCCCCATCATGCTGACAAACACGTTGGGGAGTAAAAAACATTTGTGAAAAATTAATAAAAGATTA